TTCTTCTCTAAATCTTTTCTAACTTCGTTAATCCAGGCTATGTGACTTCTTTGTTCCAAGGTAGTTAAAAATCTGCTTAGTTAATCTGGTTGTCGTCCCAGTTCTATATAAATGTCCAAAAAAATAGCTGTTCGCCTCTTTCCAGTAATGGATTCTGTTATGTTCTCTATAGTATGATAAATTTCTTCACAATATAAGTGAAAGAGAAGCAGCAGAAAGAGAGATTTTTAAGAAGAAAGTGTTAGAAATGGAAGGAAAAGAAGACAGGATCAAAATGGTCCGAAGAGAGAAAAGTGATACACAGCGAGAAGATGAAAGAGTACTGGAGGAGGAAGAGGAAAAGGACAAAGGAAGAAGCAATGAAATTGGTGCATGGTCCCTAGATGACCCCAACGAAAGAATAATAATAATAATAATAATAATAATAATAATAATAATAATAATAATAATAATAATAATATTTTGCCAATCAGATGGCCGAGATCGATAAGTCAGTAGTGCCATAGTGGCTTCCGACCAGAAGAACGCAGGTTCGAGTCCCGCCTCGGGCATGGGTGTATTCGTGTATGTTTATATGAGTGTGCCATCTTTTCACCCCCTCATTGTCATCATCATTTCATTCTTCCATTCCCCCAGGACTAACAATCCTGGGGAATAAAAATCAGACTCAGCTAAATGCTGCTCTAATTAAAGTTACATGCACCTGCCATCGTGATAATGATGCTGAGCCACGGTACATGCAGGTAGGATGCATGCATGCGTGGTCCTAGTCAGCCGATTCTCGAGCAAAAAAATAAATAAATAAATTTAAAAAAATTGCTATCCTATAAGGACACACACTAATGAGGTGATGTTTAAGCAATGTTTTGAAGTATATATTATCAGCTGATTTTATGGGAACTGGGAGCTTATTAAAAATCTGTGCAGCATTGTAGAAAGGATCTTTGTCAGTAATTCATATATAATAAAGAAATCTTTACAGAACTGTCTCAGGTGCTGTTTGAAAACGCTTCTGATACATTTTTTTGTAGGACCATTAATCTATCCATATTTTTTTTAGCGTACCTATCGATATTTTAATACCATATTGAAGTTGGGAAAAGATTATCCTATAATAGACTGAAAGGAGTGCATGTTTCCAGGTATCTGGAAAATTATCACAAGAGGAATATATTGGAGTTTATTTTATTACAAAGTGTGTCAACTTTTTTGTTATAAATTAGGTTGATCTGTGAATATTTCTAAAAACTTACAGCATTACAGCAGTTTGGTTCACTGATTCATCGTCTACGTCCACTTTAATGTTCTGGTCTTAATAACCGTGATGAAACTTGAAATTGATTAAAACAGTTTTATCAATGTTCAATTTCAATTCGTTTATAGACAAATAACTTTTAATTGATTTTAATGATTCAGTCAGATTAGATTCTAGATGACAAAGATTTTACCTACTGCTTATTAATGTTGTATCATCTGATAAGAAATTACAGAGAAATCAGATGAATTTGGACTGTTATTAAAATATATTAGAAATAGCAAAAGTCCAAGCACAGATCTTTGCGGAACACCTGTAACAATTGTATCAAAATTTGATTTAACTTTGGATAAGAAATTTTCAGATTTCCAGAAGATGTACATTGTTTACGTCCTCAGAGGTATGATCTAATGAGGTCATTAACTTTGCCCCTTATTCCATAATAATCTGTTGTTTTTTTTTTGACAGTTTTTCACGAGATACACTATCAAATGCCTTTGAAAGATCATTAAATATACCTGCCCCCAAATTCCAAATTTCCAATGATTTCATGTACGAATTCCACAACAGCAGTAGTGGTGGAGAAGCACTTTATAGCCATATGATTTGTTAAGGATGATTAGATTCAAGTAAACAATTAAGTCTTGCTAATACAACTTTTCCACAGTGTTTGCCATATGCTGAAGTTAGGGTTTTGGGTCGGGGATTTTTAACATCTTGTGTGTTATTATTCTTAGTAAGTGGTCTAACAAGTTTTAGGGATTCTGAGAAAGTGAATATAGATAGAGATGAATTTTGTCCGAGTTTTCCCAAGGTTTTAAATTTGTTTGTTGAGTTGCCTTTCAGATTTTCTAGATTTCATGTTGAGGGAGCGAATAATTCCCAGATATCATGGATGCAGTTTGCAGGGTAAAATCACACATTTATGTTTCTCAGAATTGTGTGAGCTAGGCACCTGCTCATAAACAACAGTATTTTCCTATTCCTCCTATTATAAAACATAGTAAAGCTTTTCCCTTTAAAATCATACCATCAATGGGTATGTTCTGTGCAACAACCTACAGTAAACCATTACATTACACTTCCATCCATATTACCATAGGGTGCACATTTTACACTTTTTTCCTTTCCTTTGGTGACAACACGCCTCATTTCTTCTTTGGAAAAACACTCCTTATACTTTATGATTCTTTGCAAATAAATGGCTATCCTGAGCTTTTCGGCCATTTCACTTTCAGAAATATTATAATTTTTCTCAACTTGTTGATAAAGCTAACCTTCACAAAGAAGTTTCTGGGAGGCCTACCTTAATCTTCCTCATGCTAAGACAGATCTACCAATGAGTCTAGACCTTAATTTCTATTTTTTAACAAATAAGAAAAAAAATTATGTTGGTGTGTTGGTCATTTTTTAATGAGTCAAAAACATCCTAACTTGTACATTAAGATATGTACAGTTTTGTAAATTACAAAAGTTTCAAAACAGAAAAATTAACTTGTTCATTGGGATATGTCTGGATCCCTCTTAGCATTTAGTGGCACAGAAGCACACTTCAAAGTTAAGAGAAATTGTCAAGAAATATCTTGGAAATTCAGACTGCATTGTTGTAACAGCACATTTCCTTTCGCCTCTATTGTTGTCCTTGATTGTTTAATTTGTATCTTCATTTCAGGTTTGACATGATACAAATACTTGTTTCTAACTGTGAAGATTGAGAGGTAGAGAGGCTAGAGATTGATTAACAAAAATGACAAAGTAAAGTGCCCCAAAATTTTGATCTAGATAATACTGAGCATATAGAAAAATTTGAACATAATTATTGATGTAAACAGTTGGGTATAATAGGAAATAAAATGAATTTCATGCAATGATACACGATTTTATTATAATGTATCACTATCCAAAAAACACATTAAAAAAGTTGTACAAAAGCTGAAAGTTGTTTTCTGACCAAAAATATATTCTTCTACTTATTATTCCTTAAATATGTCTTTAATAGTACAAAAAGGGAAAAAGTTAAATTTTCCTTCAGGGGCCATGCACATTAGCATTTTATAGCCACTCAATACATGACTTCAAAAAGGTTGAAGGTGGAATTAATACTGGAGTAGGAACACTAAATCAGGGATGGAAATGTATTGTCCTGATGGTGGCATTTTTGGGGCCAGAAACATTTTATCTTAAATGAGAGTCTACCTAAGTCAGGGTATCACTCTGCTATATTCAGCATAGCAGCTTTCTTCCTTCAAATGGCACATATAGGAAGGGTATAAAATATGTGATGTGACAAGACGTGATATACAAGAGATTCTTACTTCTTGTGAGAACATAACGTATGTCACATTACTAATATTTAGGAAAAAATAAACTGATAAACTGAAAATTGTTGTGTTCTCAATTTGCAAACTCATATCTTAAAATAAAACACTTTTTGATTCAAACAATGGCATAAAATATTCTCAAAAGATTTTTATTTTTGGTCATTGTAATTGGAGTACAAGGAGAACGTACCAGTGGAAGAACGGAGTGACAGCGACTGAATGTATTCCGCTTTCAATTGGTCAACAGCTTTTTGCATCTGATTCTTTATATCATCCAATGGAATAACTTCTGCCAGCATCCTTTCATCAACAGAAGTCTTATGTTTTCCTGTCAGGTAATTTAAAAGTATAGGGTGCATTAGAGTTTTACTTGTCTCTTCTGAAGAATTAAAAGCAAGTATTCTATGTTCTAAGAAAACTAACTTTGCTCAAATTTGTTACCAAACAGACATATTGACATTATTAATCAATAATTTATTCATATGGGTAAGGTAACAGCACCAAATGTTGACAGGTCACCTACAGCTAACATGCAAGGATAATTGTTTATGAAATAAGTATTCCAATAGTTAAGTTGGTTTACTAAAACACTGGCAGGAATGGTCCAGCCTTTAGTTTACACTGACAAGTTTCATTAATTACAATCAAGTGATTTAGCTTATGTTTGATAGACCAGTGATTTGGCATATGTACATAAGAAGGTAATCGTCACAAATTTCTTAAAAATCTTTCATCTAGACCATCATGAATATTAGAGGGGTTCTTACGTTTACGTTCTTCAAAATTTGATAGCCCCTAAGGAAGACTGGGTCCTGATTATAATTTTGTACTCCTTACATTATGCAAACGAGCAAAATGTTATAAAAAGAGGGTATTAAGTTTAATAGCCTAATAAGTCTAGAAGTAATGTTGACATGGTCTCCAAACTTTGTTCCCAGTATATCAGCTTTAGGAAACATTTTAATTAATATGCCTATGCTGCAAATTTAGATAGTATGGAACAGTAAGCATTAGGGACAAATTCCATGGGCAACAGCATTAAAACACATATTGCCTTTTCTCCTGAGGATAAAGAAATGCTTGTAAGCTGGGTATTGCTAGTGCAGATGGCAGGCTTTTCTGTGTCCAAAGCTACTTTTTTAAATTCAGTGAGAAAGCAACTCAAGCTCCCTGTCATTTCCTGTCTTCTCCAAGTCATTTCCCAGCAAAACATGGTATCATGTGTTTTTAAGGTGATATGATAATTTAAGCATCCAGGTATGTCAAAATGTGTCCACTGTAAGACAGCATTTTACAAAAGAAAAAACAGGAAAGTGGATTGAAGAAGTTAGAAATTATTTTGAAGAAAAGGATCTTCAGTAACCCTAAGTGCAGAGAAGAGTATTTAACACGGATGAAACCACTTTTTTCTTAAATCCTAAAGGAGGGAAAGTACCAACAGAGAAAGGTTCTAGTCATTCATCAGGGAGCAGGATATGATGAGAAAGAAAATGTGGCTTCATTATTGGTAATACTACTGGAGAAGTAGCACCACCAATCGTACTTTATCAATACACTCACCCACCAGCTGGAATACCCAGTGACATTCCTGATTGTTTTACTGGGCACTCTATATAAATCGTGAGGGATTTTAGGAGCTTATAACAAATATATTTTACTCTTGGCTACTTCAAAATAAATTGAGCCGATCTGGTGGCCGAGATCACTAAGGCAGTGGTGCCGTAGTGATCTTGGACTGAAGGATCGCGGGTTCAAGTCCCGCCTCGGGCAAGGTTGTATTGTGTTCGTCCTTTCACCCCTTATCATCATCATTATCGTATAATTCTCACAGTTACCATACCGTTACAAGCGATAGTGGTCGCTAATGACCTAGTAGTTGATGCGACCATATATAACAAAAAACAAATTCAGAAACCAGTAGTTGTATTTTTAGACGGGCAAACTTCTCATAAATTTATGACACCCCAGTTGTACTCAGAAAAGGGAATTGGAACTTCTGTATTAAATCCTACCCATCTAATTCAACCTATGTAGTATGTATTAAATACATACTACATAATGTCTTCAATGTATTTGAAGATACTTGGAGTCTGAGGGAACAAGAGTGGAAGATGGAAATTGGAGAGATGAAGAAAATTTGAAGGTAAAGCAGAAGTAAATAAGTTGCAATATCCAAACAACTTTGTTTGTCTGAACTGATCCAATGTTCCTTATGTTCTGTTCCTCACATGTCAGCTTTACAAACACATGCCAATCACCTGTCAGGCACAAGATTAGTTTTACTCTTCTTGAAAAATTAAATTATTTATTATATAGGAAGATATTTAAACTCATCAAGAATCCAACTGTATCTGAGAGGAAAGGCTTCAGTAATTATTTTGACTACACCAGCCAGTTGAAAGTAATTTTTTCCTTAACCTGACAGCTTTTGGTGCAGTTACCTTATATAGATAAAAAGTGGTCTAATTTTAAACCTTGCTTTTGAATTTTTAGTTCCCGTTTTTAAATAATTACAAAAAACAGATTTAATTAATTGATTAATTGAATTAATTGATTTTAGACTACGTGATGATGCGGCTTCATTGTCTCATGAAACATTGTGATTTTTTAGTGTATTGATGACAATAAAAATAATAGTTATAAAATGTACAAGTGGTTTGATTATCTTTAAATATCCTGAATATACCACATACAAAAATTCTACATATGACTTGTGGCCTAAAACGTAGAATAGCCAGCAAATAACGACTTCTCAAATTCATACCTTTTTCCTTTTTCTTGTCCTTCCCTTTCGCATAATGCCTTACAGTCATTGAGGCAAGAGGTACATCCACAAACTTAGTGCCATACAAGTTATTAAAGTTATTAGGAAATGTTGCGTTTTCGGACGGGGGACCCAAATGTTTGAAGTAATGCATGGACGAAAAAGACCTTTGACATAAGCATTTTGTTCCAACAGTAGTTTGCCATCTAATGAGAGGTGAAATGAACCCTATCCACTTCATATTTCTCCTTTACTGTAACACGAAAAAGTGTTCTTATAGATGCAATATGATTATACAAAAGGCGTACACGTAACAATTCACTAACTTCGAAGCAAACTAACCACACTTTCAAATGTGTCCACTGAACCTTCATCAACTCATCAAACCGCCAAACAGTATTTTTGATGAAGACCTTGCGAGACATTCAGTAACTGCAACCTTCGACAAAAAACTCAAAGAAATAAATGCTATATTGTCAATGTTTCTCATTTGTTATTATTTGTTGACAAAAAACACGTAAATTGAAAGATTTCTTAAGTTACACCGATTATTTTATACGAACACATATTTTACTAACGGAAGACGCGTTTGTAACAATATGCTGTACAGTTGGTGTACATGACAATGACAAATGAGGCATCCATTTAATATATTAGCCTCCAGGTAGCGCGCGGCTTCAACGCGAAGTTCCGAGGGTTGTTAATCGACGCGGGAAGTTTAATTTCTCATCAAAGTAATATAACTGCACTCTGTAAACAAACAGCTGGATTGAAAGAGAATAACGCTCGTTTCTTAGAAGGCACGTGGTCGTATTAGAGAAGCGGTTTAAACGTAACACTCTTTATTGTGAATTTCACACATACAACATTGAATTGTGCCCCATTTGCTTAACATTGCATGTTTTGAACGTAGAGAAGCCTTTTATTATCAATTTATCTAACCCTTTGTTGTTCTACAATGTAACAATCAATCTATTACGTGTATCTGGGATTATCAGGTCTTTCTTTATTTCTTTCGCTTTCTTTTTTTCAATTTTTAGCATTTGAATGCTAAGAAATAATTTAAATAACGCTTATACTATATTGTCTACCACTCAATGTATCTTTATTTTTAAAAAAAACATTTGGCTGTTTCATCGCTTTTGACAGTTTATTTAATTGTATTAGATTGTATATGAGCATAAGAATTAGGATCAGTCGGGGATATTATGATACAGAATGGGCAATTATGAAACGAAAAAATAAAAATACTGAATATTTGCTTTTTGGTATTAAAGACGTGTACGACGTAAAAAATAACTTACCACAAGCCTTTGAAGAAGTGTATCAGAGTAGTCCCACCTGACGGGGTTAATAAGTTACATTGATAGGGCTAAAGTGATACAGCTCGATATCTCTATAAATTTTGATTGGAAATCGACCGGGCTATAGAGAGACACCTTAGGGTCTAGTAACTCAACAGTGATTTTTTAATTAAAAAAAACAAAAACTATTGATGTCTAAGTTATAAGAAATTGTTTCCAACCAGTCTGAAAGTTCAAAAAGGAGACTTTAAAATAAAGTTTTAAAATAAGCACTTTTATTTGGTTTTAATACAGTAAATTATCAAAAAAGGGTCTGGAAGTGATATCGTCTCATCAGTTTGACACGAGCGCAGTATACAACACGAGCTTTGAACCTTCCTCTTAGCGTACTGGTCTTTATATTATTTTTTATTATGAGATGAATATAATTACTTATTGTTTCAAGATATTTTTATGCGCTTTTGTTGCATAGACAACGTAATGTAGAGAAACGTAAATATATCAGAGCAATAGCTTTACAGATTTCCGTGCGTATAATACGCCCAATATTGTTAAAACAATAAAAAGTTAAAAACGTTGCTTTCTTATTGACTGTGTGTTAATTTGTAGCATATCAAAATAGCCCCGGCACTCATATCGCATTAGCCCCAAAAATTGAGGTTGTATATGTCATGATACGATTAATTTTTTTGGAAATATTTTAACACGGAAAAATAGATTCATTGCTTCTGAATGATTACCTATTTTGAAAACTATTGTCTCATCAAAAATGACAAAGTTACATCAAAAGTTTCCTATCTAGGCAGAAAAGATTTTGACTTAAAAAAATCGGTTTTTTGCCCAAATACTGTAACATTTTGAGTTTCTGCTATATGGTCGTTAATAATCGAATATATTTCTTATTATTTGCTATTTTTTGTTAATTTTGGATATCAATAAGTGACCATTCTTGAAGTGTATCATATTAGCATCAATTTTTTGCTGTATCGTGACTGGTCCTACTATAAATAAAACAATATATTATCTACTTGGCTGGCCGGAAGGCGCCGGCGAAATGCCCTGACGAAGGTCGCAGTCTGACGACCAAAATTTTGGCGTCTGTGCCTCGGAAGCTGTTTTCCGTACCGCCAAGTAGATACTGACTCCGGCTGCGGAAGTCTACGCTTAAAAAGCAATATAGGCTTTCACTGCCGGAGTCATCATTCAAATTATATTCCTGACTAAACGTCTTCTGGAAATCATGTTAAATCATGTTTCTCCATGCATTGGAAAACGGTAGTTGCAGACGAAACGTACTTTCCAGTAGATCTCGACCCTCCAACTCAAAAGATAATTTGAACTACTATTGAATTCTTCTGGTCTCCGTCCCTTTTTCGTTCGGATTTCCTCCCGCATTTACTTGATCGAATGATTGATAGTGGAAAAGGTAGCCGAATATTGGAGTATAATATCGGATATCAAGGTTTCAGCACAATGATGAGCTGCAACCAAGCAACATCTATGCTAAATACTACCTCTCCAAACATCCATTCCTCTGTGGCGTTAAGATAGTTTTTGCGACAGAAGCGTGTCAGTTAATTTTTTATTATTATTTTATTTTTTATTTTGTGAACGTAAAATATTTTGTAGTTTCGTCTGTTCGCTTCATAAAATAAACTTTTTGTCAAGCATTTTTACCAATATTATACGTAATAAAGTTATGGAAGAATATTAGTTACAAACTTGAATCAGCATGGTCGGCTACGACTCTTACTATTTAAGTGATGTATTTCATAATGAAATAGTGATTAGGCTCCCAATATCGGATACTTGAGGGATCCTAATATTAGAGACCTAATATTAGGGTGTTGTTATTGTTATTCTCATTATTTTTATAAATATGAAGCCCAAATGATGAATCATTTATGAGCCCATTCAAATTTTACTATCCTCAAGAAGTTTCTAACAATCTTTATGGTTTCTAACAATCTTTATAGATAATTAACCTGTTATCAAATTGATTAACTTATTGTTAGAGCTAATGTTAAGTCACTCCACTCTTCTGATCTGATCTACACATTTTGTAAAATAAAAAACTCTTATTGAACTAGTAAGTACAATTTTATTGTTTTTACTACTTATTTGTCTATCCGATATTAGGACTTCCTTTCTTCCGATATTAGGAGCCCATTTTTCGAAAGTGCAAAAGTGACGAAAAGTTTCCAGAATTCCTTCTCCAAACGAGCCGAGTGAAGATTTTCAAGAAAGTGATAATCGTCCAAACTTGTTAATACTGCAAATATACCGGACAGTGACAATGACAAATTAAACGTTCACCGCTGGCCCTGGTAGAGCATGTTCACCATGATGTTCACTTGATAATAAAGAAACTGACAGCAAAATTTCGTTTTCTGTTTCTTCTGCAGTCTTCTCCCCTTTGCCGTCATCTGCTGTCTTCCCGAGCCACAAATAAAACTTTGACGCCAGGTGTTTGCATAGTCTAGTGTGGTTGTTTTTGAAAAAAATATTCTCTTCTACTTGAAGATGGAATTCATAGACTGCTGAGAATTAATGTCTCAACTACCTTGCATCTTTTTGTGCTATACTTCAGAGAAATAAAAGAATTTATACATCGAAGAAAATGTTCTATTCCTGGATGCCTAAAACACGACACGAATGCAATTCACCGTTTTCAGCGTAAACTCATAACACGTCTGAAACATAATTATGACAATGTCACAAACATTTCTTGGGCGGGGCAGCGCTAGTATTACAAAAAATGAGTTTATGATTCCACAAAATGTCTTCAATGTGAAAGTGCTCAGATGATATTGAGTTTATTTATTTAGTAAAAATAAAAAATAAAAGTTGTAAGTAATGTGTTGAGAAGAAGTACCATCTGCTCACGTTTTCTTGATCTCTAGAATCTCTTCTCAACCTTTTAACTAATAATATATAATAAATCGTTGAATGATGAAATAATATTTTAAATAATAAATAGTTGAATGATGAATAAAAGTGTCAAAGAAACGAGGTTAGTAACGTAAGAAAACTAGACACTTTCGCTCCAAGGTTACAGAAAACGTATTTGCATTATAAACGAACTACAGATATAATTTTTTAGTTTTCCTAATAAATTAGAAATCCAAACCCCCGGCTCTAATATAATCACTACTAGCAAAAGGAGAGTTCAACAAAACGTGAGCATAGTGAAGCTACATTTATGTCCAGAAGTAAAACAAGGGGCCACATCAGCATTTGCTCAATGGTTCAGGGAAACTGGACAAAACCCTGATCGACATGGGGGTCATTGACCCAGAAAATGGAGTACATTACTTGTGACAGGGATGTAACTCTACCGGTGCGTGATGTAGTAGTTCGTGACTGCGCGCCTCGGGAACTTCGTACTCAGGAGAACAGTCAATGCGCTGCACGGCTTCATGCTGCGGTTGAGCAGTGTGCGTGGGAGAACAGTGGCGATTCACTCGGGCGACGACGCTGGCCGCGGCACCTGTGGACGTTGAGTGTGTGTG